GCCAGTTCTGCTATACGGTGCAGAAACTTGGCCAATAAGAAAACAAGATAAAGATAGACTGTCGGTGTTTGAACGCCGCTGTCTACACGGCATTGCACGAATCTGGTGGGTAGCCGGATGAGCAACGCTGAGGTTGGGGGCAGAGTTTTGGGTAATCACGGTCGCCCACTGGAGCTAGTGGTCGACCTCCTTAGATTACGTTGGTTGTGGCATGTGTTACGCCTGTCATCAGATAGGTTGCCACGGTGAGCGATGTTCACCGAAGCAGAGTGGAAAAAAGCCAAGGGTGGTGAAGCTAATACTTGGCACGAGGGTCTGAAAACCCTAATCAGGAAACTGGGCCACCTAGGTCCGTGGCTGGAGACCTCGGGATGATCGTANTGAGAGACACTGAGCGATATGGCTGGGTGGCGTTCGTGCATCTCCTCAATTTCTTTGCAACCCTAGTCCACTGAACTTCTCCATTTTCTTTTCGAATCCATTTTCAACTTTCCTTTCTTCGCCTATTCTTCATCCCAATGGGCCGCCAATAGACAGCAACCAAACGGGCGCACGAAAGTACATGGTTAATGGTTGTTCAAAGTGAAGTAATAGGTAGCGAGTTACTATTGAAAAAAAGATAGTTAAACATAAACAAGTAAAAATCAATATATTGGGAATAAATTCGATTACAAAATTGAATACTCTTCTCCGGCTTGCTTTCGTTATTCAATGTCTAGTTACTAGTCTCTCCCTCACGTCTGAGATATTACACACCTGTTGAAAACCTAAACAGGAAAAATAGCTATCTATATCATACGGTTCCTGGACTGTTTCTTCTGACTGTCTCGTCTATTTTTGTTCCCTCGAACAGGTCTCAACCACTTGTTGAAGAGTCCATTTTGTATCCATCCAAAGACCGGACATGTGTGTATCNTATATTTATTACATAATTATTCAACACGTAACCAATTACAGAGAACTGGCAATTGTGCCACAACATATGAACAGAAAGAAATTTGAAAAATGTGTCCATGGGCTGTGTGAGCATGCTACTTCCCGGTTGCCCTGGCCGAGGAAGGGGGATAGCCTCGGGGTCCCCACCCGAAGCCTTTGGCTAGAAAGCCAAACTTGCAAGATAAAAGGACGGAGCTCGGAGTCCGAAGTCCCTTGGGGGCCGGTGTCCAGTTCACTGAATCATACGCCATTCGGACGGAGTCAAACATCCAAGGTGCCCAATTAAGCCGCTGACCACTGCTGCGACCAGGTAGGTGTGCGTGTGATTCTTCTTGGTTAGTTTGGAATCGGGGCTTTTAGCCAACTCCTCTAGGTGAGCTGCTAATGCTTCACCAACCCGGTTATAGCCCTGGATGTCGGATTTTCGTCCTCTCACTTTGGTGGGAAAATACCTCCACCACTAGAAGGCAGTGGGTATCATCATCATCATCATCGTCATCGTACAGCAAAATACAGTGAAGCAAACTTCACTGACCTCTGCCAAACTCACAATGCACACAAGGTTAGTGGTAAAATTTAAGTTAGACAGGGGTTGGATCTATTTTGAGGAAGGGAGAAGAAGATGAGCCACTATGGTCAACACAGAGTACGCAATCGAACTCTGCATACATTCTGACCTGATAAGAAGCGACAACAAGAACGCAACTGCTGCCGGTTCGCTGCCATATCCTTCAATGTATCCAACCAACCAATTGTGGACTCTTTCGGACCCCAACCTTGAAGGCGAGAGACACCTACTCTACCTAATGGNNNNCTCAATTGATTGACGAGCTCGGAGTACGGACCGGACAAGAGCCAGGAGGATCCGGTGAAATGGAAATCGGAAAACACTTGCTAGCATACAAGAAAACATCTCTTAAGCCTTCCATCGAGTACTTCGAAGCATTTGTGGAACGCTTGTGCCCCGTGAAGGAAACGGATCAGTCTCTACGATCTATGGGTACTGTCTCTAGTGCCGGAGACGCTCCATTGACTGTCCCCGTGTTCTAAAGCATTTGTATGACACTGTTAACTCATTTCAGATTTGTAAAATTACGTATATTTTTTTATCTCATTTAATCACAGCCAGTACTGTTCGTGCAAGTAATAAAACGTATCTCCGAATATGCACTCCATCTCAACTCAAGAGGTTGGTTTCACTCAAACTCAGCTGTGGTCGTTAACACCATATCGGATTTTCACGGTATCAGATCCAAACTTGGAACGGATGTCTTTGAATAAATTGTGCTTCGTGCTCATAGTACTAGTTACTTATATAAATGTTTGGATTAGCCACAACGAAAGAAAACCAAAAAAACAATTTTCGGTTGATGACCTTCCAAGAGGGTCGAGGATTTAATGATATCGGATTTTTAGCTACTGATATCATTGTAAGTAGCTTATAAAGATCAAACGAATTGAATTTTGGTCCCACTGCTCATCCATATCGTCAAGGTTCCGGAATCAACTGGTTTATTCGATTCTCAACTTTCCTTATTTCTTCATCCCACAGGTAACCACCTTTCCACTAGATGCTGAGGGTGACACCGTTCACATTCCAATGCCAGCTTATCAAGAGCCTGAGGAATGACTACGAGAAGGTACCGTCATCTTTTGAGACTGGAGGTTCCGTGTTCTTCTTGGAGTTAATGAAGCTTCTGGGTTCAGTAAGGGACAATAAATAGGTGCCAACTGGATAGCGTGAAGCGGTCATTTGACAGATTTACAAACAGTTGATAGACCTTCTGAAAACTGCAGAAGCTGCGTACGGTTAAATCGATTACTCTGTTGCATGCGGTTGCGCTCGTGCATCTTCTCATTTTCTTTCTAATTTTATTCGTTCTGAATTCGCTATGCTTATCTTGAGACTGCTTTCAACATTTCCGTCTCATCTCTGCTCTTTCATCCGAATCGACAGCCAAAAAGCACCAACCGAGACCACCGCATGAACAAGCGCTGTTGATGACTATATAAAGTGAAATTGAAACAAGTGGCCTTTGACTACAGCCTCATTCCTGGAAGTGAACTGGAAACTCAACAGATTAAGAAAAGTTGAAAGCGAACGTCATATTTAATTACCTCACAATGCAGACCGCTTCATCCCGGTGAAATCAGGCCTAATTCGTGATAGATTCCAGTTTCAAATGTAGACTAAATCGCCAGCTACAAACATCATTATTTTGTCTAACAAAATATTAAAAATCGGTTTTCGTAGCTCGGGTGAACTGAATTCCATTTCGCCTGTTCGCCGAGCTTGGCAATTGGTTTGCAAACGTTTCATCTCACCAGCCGAGGTGACATCATCAGTGCTTGTGAAGTGGCCACTTCACATATATAAACGAACGAGTACAGACAGAACACTGCCACTTCACAAACACTGATGATGTCACCTCGGCTGGTGATGTAGAAACGTTTGCAAACAAATTGCCAAGCTCGGCGAACAGGCGAAATGGAATTATTTTGTCTATCCTTCAACAATAAATTTGCAATTTATTTATCTGGTTAACAACTCCGCGCTTAGATTTTGCCTATTTTTTCCTAGCAGTTGAAGAGATGCATTAGCAAAATTTGCGGATGCCTCAGTATGGTTGGCGCTGTCTCGTTTTGTACCTGGCCGCTCTCCCCTTGCACCTGTACGGTCAGGCTCATCGAACAGTCACCACCGAGGANAAGCCGCCCCACTCGCCGCTTTTTGATGACCGAGGTGTTTTCCCCACCAACGTAAGAGAATCCAAAGGCAAAATCCGGGGCTACAATGGGGTCAGTGAGCCACTGAGGGTTCACCAGGGTGAAACTCGGGATTCCCAACTAAACAAGAAGAATCTTACGAATCACATGCACGTTCTTGGTTGTGCCATTGGTCACCGGTTCGATTGGGCATCAAGACATGTTGGGCACTTTGGGTGTTTGATAAGCCGCATACCGGTGCTCCGATGAATTGCGGTTGTCACACGCCTCTCCGCAGCATTACGAGTCAGCCTTTGGACAGCTGAAGGCAGTGCTTTCCCCAATAAGACTCGCTTGCCTTGATGTGGGCAAACTGGCAGTATCGTGTCCATGAGCAAATGATGGACTGATTTCTTTGTTATAAAGGTTATTTTTCCGTGGTTCGTTTGGCAAAGACATGCAGTGCGTGTGAGAATCCCAGAAGTGTAATACTACTAGCGTTTTCGGTTCTCGTCCTTGTCAGCTGGTATGGCCTTGCACCTCGCGAAATGTTCCCATACTAACAAGCGTCTCGAATAGCCTCTGCTGAAGAAGCCCTACTCACTGCCTTCTCTTGGCGGGTGTTTCCCACCAAAGTGCGAAGACGAAAAGCCGACGTCCGGGAGATAACCGGGTTGGTGGACCACTGGTAGTTCACCTAGGGGAGTTGGCCAAAAACCCTGATTCCAAACCAACCAGGAAAAAGTGTACGAACCACACCCACACCTTCTTGGTTGTGGCAGTGGTCACCGGTTCGATTGGGCATCGAGGTGTATTGGGCACCTTGGACGTTTGACCCCATCCAAAGGGCGTATGATCCGATGAATTGGACACAGGCTTCCAATGTATTGCGATTTTCGCACAGCGCCCTGCTGCCTTGCGAGTCAGGCTTTGGCTAGCTGAAGACTCCGGTTGTGGATTCCTCAAGAAAATTCACCAGCCTCGGACTGGGCAACCTGGCAGTATTCAGCCCACATGCAGATCATGGAACACTTCTTTTTACCATGGTTTCTTGTACCATGATTTGTCTGGATTAAATGTGTGAAAATATAATAATCTGGTAGCTGCAACAGCTGGTTAGGTTGATTTTGAAGTCTCCAATCGAAAATTTTGACCGCGGTGACATGACCAAGGTACCTTTAGGCAAAGTTATTGTTTTGTCCTAACTTATACGTGCCAAAAAAACATTTCAGAAAGAGGAAGACCCTAACGTTCGCGACTAGTGAGGCGCATGAGTTAATGCGCGTTGAAGACCGGACCGCATTCAACCGTTCACGAATGTCTAAGGTTGGCAAATACCGAAGGAGCATTCGATATTTGTGGTGGCATTTCATCCGACGTGCAATAGTCTATTGTAGGCAGCATAAAAATAGAGGGTTTTAACTGTGTCCCGCCGAGTTTTCTTGTTGTTTCAGCTTTATACCGGTTCATTTTGGAAGTTAATGCGAGAGAGCGCTTGTAGTGGAGGACTTTTGAATGGGAAATCGATCAGATTAGTACTCCAGTATACAGATGAGTGGTAAATTTTATTCGTCTCCCTAGGTTTCCCCTGGCATCTAACCATGAGTGCACAAGGCGGTGAATTACATGGCATTGACTAATGAAACCTTTTTCCCAACAGACTCGATCAGTGAATTTGTCACAAACAAAAATATGACGTCATGAAATACTGATACGGGCATGTGTGTGTGTTTGTAGGTGTGTGAATGATCAACTTTCTTTGATGAGGGGATGGTCTGCAAACAACTTGTTCGGATGTCCGGGAGTCACATGGCGTTAATAAGCTCGTGATCGTTCGGTTCTTTTGTTGTTACATAGTTTTCACGGTCATCTACCCATCTGCCATACTTCCGATGGGATTGCCCGTTCGCTTGGTGGACTTGCGTACTGGCTTGCATCGTATCCACGCCGACAGCGTCGAACGCATCGTTTGCGTTCCAGCTTGTTTCGCTTGTGCGGATGAAGACGTGCACAACGTGATCGACACTCACATTTGATGATGAAACGAGTTTGTCTCGCTGCATTGCATCACGTGGTGTTGGTGGCGAGGGTGTTTGGGAAGAGTAAAGAACAAGATAGGATTAAACGCAATAGTGAACAATGTAGCGATCTGAATGTGCATAACGTCCAACTGCTCGTGAATAGCGCTTTCCTGATGTACTGTTGTGAGTTTTATGATTGTTACACCGAAATCTGTGAAATGTCGTGGCCCTCAGAACATCTAAAGATTGCTACCTTTTTCGGTCATGCTTCTTTGCGAATAGAGTGCCTCAGGAACAAAGGAATTCGTTATGATTAATAGGTGCTTGCCCAAGGTCCGGACCTAAATTAGCGTGTAAATCACCGTAGCCTAATCTCTGGTGAAGCGAAAAGCATTAAATATCTCTAGATCGGATGCTGGCAAGATCAAAAACGATACATACTGAAAATTTACGAATTCAAATTTAATTTGTTCTTCATTTGCATGATTACGTGGATCGACTAATCAGAAAATACATTACGGTCCATATACTGTGAATGCATCCTGTTCCCCTGTTCTGTGGGATCAAATTTGTTCTTCGGGGAAGCGTTACGGACGGCAATTTAAGTTGAGTGGGAAAATAATCATTTTGCAAAGAATTCAGGGTTCTTTCTTTTTATCGTAAAAGAGGAACGGTTTCAGCCTGCTCTTTGTCCAGCTGTTCAAATTAGGAAACGCCATGATAGGCAGTCTGCAGAAGGTGTTGTCCCGCCATCTGACCAGATGCGACCGTGCAAGGTGCCACGGGTGGGACGCAAAATTTAGAGACAAAAAGAGTCAATTGGGTACAAGTAGATGAATGAACTGACAAAAGATTACCGGATACGCATGCCTGACGAGCGGCTCGACCCGCGAAACCGGTCGTGTGCTTCCAGGGAAATTTTGTCCAGTCATTCAGATACAACTTATTATCAAATATTCTGCCAAGACCATCAGGTCGCGTTTGTTGCGGTTAGTAGCATCTAACCCACTTACAAAACATTGAATCATAGCATTGGTTCTTCATTGGACTGGCTCTGGCCAAGTGCATTGCGTTTTGAATGGTTGCTGATCTACACTCGTTGGTGGGGTAGTAGTTAGCCTTGCGACCAACTTGTTCTGGCAGTCGGCTACCACGATCAAGTCAGAAAGCTTGGCGACGTTCAGTTGGTTGCATCTAATATTTTTGCGGTTATCAAATCGCTTAGACAACTTAGCACAAACCATTACGTGATCGGAGTCGAAGTAGATAGACCAAAACGAACGGCATTCTTTCACAAACCCTCCTCATCTATAGCTAACAGCTATATGATCGAACTGAGCCCACATTTGTACCGAGTGGCGAGGTGACACTTTGGGTGTCTGAAGTTCTTGCTTATTTGGAACAGATTGTGTTCCAAGCATATACTAAGAAGTCCATTCCTATTATGTGAACGATAGCTATCAAGGCCAGTGTGACCACCAATATGGGTCTTGTCGGACGACAGATGGCCAACGGGTGTATTTATATGATAGAAGTTCGTCGAGGAAAGAATCCGATAACGGAAGAAGTTCAATCGGTCCACTCGATCAATTCGCGGATATTCGTTCGGTAGACCTGTATACTTTGGATCGACTAAGACTAAGTGACTACATGAGTGACGGACATGATAACTTTCTTTGTAAGGCCAACCTGTTCGATCCGGAATGAACCTAAAGAAGAACTCGGTTTAATTACGTAATCACAATTTGTGTCCTACGTTTGACTTGCCCAGAGAACAGATATTTCCTCGCGTTTCACTAACCTGTAGCTTAAGCTACTAGCGATCAAATTATTAACACACCTGTGTGGAATCGCTGAATAAGATCGACCTCGGTCCCACGAGGCAGTCGATCGACGAGGAAAAACATTTTGAAATATGCGATATAATCGACATCTTTGCTATCCTATTGGAGTGAGATAACCGGTCTGATCATATTCCGGATGTCATCCTAACATTCCAATTTTTTGCGATACGTGTGTGGAGCAGAATTTCGATTCCACGAAGACACTGACGATTCCCATTCATCCATCCATCCATCGCAACGAGTATTTCTTCAAAAGCACGGTGGTAAATAAACAGTTTTACTTCAGTGACTTTCTGATAGTTTTTTTTCGAAAGGTAGAAGCACCGCATGTTGATTAGTTGAGGCAGAATAATGCAACGCTTTCGTGCCTGCATTTATTGCAAGTTCATCAGCATAATATTGCTAAACCTCCGGGAACTGTTCGGATTTCCTTGAATAACTTCCATTCATTTCCCACTAATCTAAAAACAACCAATCAAGCTAAAACACCTACCGTCTTATTTGAACTCAATTGATGTATCTCTCCCGCACTGAAACCAGCTTTTAACCAAGACACGCTGAATTTCGTGCTTAGTTCCATCTTCTTTCGGCAAATCAGACTCAACACAATGGGAATCATTCTGTCGCACGCAGAGAAACCACCGAGGCGTAATTTGATTAGTCTCTGTTGTTCGTTCGCTGAGTTGCGGGGAATTTTTATTGCAATAAGACCTGATAGAAGATAACAATATGTATTGTTTTTTAGTGAATCATCAAAGTAGGTCACAATGGAACTCTGCATCAAACTAGAGTTCTCCAAACCTACGCGGCTCAGGCAGCCGAAGCCATGGGAATGGTGACGAGCCACATTACGACAATAGTACATCGACCGCCATGACGTATGTGGCAGTCCAGAAATCATCATTAAAACCTTTGCATGACGTCAGGTTTCAAATTTTCAATGACCGCGTCTCCGTTCGACAGTGCTTCGCGTACCTATTGCTCGGATAAAAAAACTAAGAACTGAAACCGGTGATGGTTTTCGCCTGGTGATGATGTTCCGTAAGTTGATTTTCACATTTCAAGTCTGCTCTTTTATCCAGGTCGGGAAAATCTGACCAAAGTATTACATTTACAATAATCAAGTCCATTTTTCCTTCTGTTTTGCATTGAAGAGATCTGTGTTTAGGGTCCGGTAATCAGTCACACATTTTTTGCCAGTTTTGTAGTGTTCTCATTGTATCTTTGGCCGTCGTAGTCTGAACTGTTCGCGCAAAACCGTGTGAATTGGCGGAACCAAAATTAACGACAACGAACTAATAAAAGTGATAAATCTCTGAACCACATAAGCTTAAATTGGGCAAAAATTTCCTCCACACGAAAGTGCCTAAATATTTTAGTACTACGTGGATAACAAACGGCTACCGGAGGAGTGGGTAAGGGGTCGGAAAACGTTACGTGAAGGGTAATCAATCACAAACGTAAAACTATCTGACTGCATGTTCTGTAAAAAAAATAACCGGTTGCGCATGATTGTAAACAGTTAAAGATAACGTGATATTTCGAAGGGAAATTCGTCTGGTGCATGACAAATGAAGCGAGAACTGAAAAGCTAGGAAGCCCTGGACAGCTGTTTCGACCTGGTTGGGTCTCATCAGCTGCAGTGCGAATCCAGTGACCTGATTAGGGATCGAACACGGGACATCACAGGCAGAATGCAAGCATATTACCCAGTTGGCCACCGGGAAGCTGATCAGACCATGATGTTTGCAATGCACTTTTCAATGAGAGTAACTTGTGTATAGACAAATTTAGGATTGTACTAGAAGTTAGTCCAAAGTGAATATATGTTTATGGACTTTTGTTTACACTGCAAAAAATATCCACGATTTGATTTGTTCCATTTTTCTCCAGTGCTCTCACAATATGCATTAAAACGGATACGGTTTAAGGTGGACACTGTGAACCGGAATATTTGGGACAAAACACCTCGAAAATCAGGCCAGCCCGTGGATCGCAAGGGGTAAAGACGACACGCACCGCGTGATTGGTGAACTGAACGGTGATTAGCTAAATAAGGATTAATTGTTCAGCGCGAGCCGCGTATGTAACTACCCGAGTAACCAATCAATCAATCCAAGAACGTAACCTTATTGATCCGGGATTATTTTATTCTTGAGTGTTGTATTTGTCATCCGAATTCACAATCATTTTGCTTCATCAGCCAAATGTTGTCTAGTCATTCTGCGCCAGCTGTACTCTCTCACACTCGCGCTTGGGATGGGATGTGAAAGGGGCAGTCAGTCTCTCGCGAGAAGGTCAAATGCCTAAAAAGGGATGTTATTTTATCACTTTCACCGACCTCAATCAGGAAACAAAGTTCAAAGTCAATAGATGTTCAGATCGAGAACACGAGTTTTTCGTTCCTATAATCCAAAGGTTTCCGGTTCGCGGTCGAACCAGAATCTGCTGATGAGTGCGCACAAGACTAAATCAGCTGTCCGGTGTTCTTTCTGATGTACTACATGCAAACAAAACTCCGCAGGATTTTTGTCTGAATAATCCGCGCTAAAATCGCGTCATTCTCGAGTTCACAAAGAAAAGGAACATAGACTGAATGCTTACCTGCACTGAGACAGTACTTGTATACAATAAATGAAATCCGTGGAATCTTCCGCAACGCTTCGAATTCCCGCCGTATATCGAGCTGCACGCGGAACGGTGCGATGCCACTCGCTTTACCCGTACACGGGAGCGTAATGCGGACATCTGAGGGAACACGAGAGGAGGATCACGTATGATAGTGGACATGGAGGGTTTGACTGATGAGAATCAAGTAAGACCTCGATTTGTGCAACTTGCTAAGAAAAATAGCCTTCGTTCTTGTAGGAAACGAGTAATCAAAAGATGATCACAAAGCACGATCAACAGGAAACTTCCATATGAGAAAATCCAAGCGGCCAAAAAGCTTCACATGGTGATCAGCGAAAAGTGAAATTATTGTACTATTCTAAAGTGATATCACTTTTCGCAATTGGCGTCAATAGGTTAACGAATTGCAATTAGCCGAAATAAGCGTTTGGATGGGATCATGAGCAAATCAGTGATGAGACAATAATAGGAGATTAACAGATATTTCCCCCTGTCACAACTGACCTCCTTCGCCGTTCAATTCAGATATGTACATAGTTGATTAGCTCAATAAATACTGATTGATTCTGTTTCATGCATATTGAATACTGTAGAAACAAAAGAGCGGCGGCGGCGATGAACTGAAAATTGTCAAGTCTAGTCTCAAGCACGGCCTGGGTGGACGTAAAAAACACAGTGAGGGCAGAGGTGAATTATTTCTACGTGGTTCTAAAGTAAAAGGTAGTCAATCAATAAACGATAAATTCAAGCAGACTAGGTTACTTGACGACAGAGTTCAGAAAATTTCAAACGTGGCGCTACAGAATGACGTGTAAAATTATGATACAGTAAAACCAAAACAGAATTGTACAGTTATAAACACAGAAAAATAGAACAGTAGTTAGAAGTTATTAAATAACTAATCATTCAACTTTGTTAATCTTTCATTAATCATTAAATATTCAGTGCAGCGCTAGAAATGGATATTGGCAGTTATAATCAGACTACTTAAATATCTATAGTAGCCAAATTGCAAATGCTGGAACATTCAAATTCTTTCCCGGAGAATTTACAAGTACCCTTGAGAAAATGTTAATGAAATGTAATACATCAGCGTGTGTTGTCGACTGAAGTTCAGACACGCGCTCGCGCGCACACAAACACAGGCACCAATCGACCAACATAGAGTTTGTCTCATTTCATTTTTACTTGCTTTTACTGACTACGCAATGATACAAATTTCAGGGGGGAGGGAAGCGGCCAATCAAAAGGCTACCATACAACACGCAACGGGGAGATAGACGGTGGTTGTGGGATTCGAACACACGTCCTCCGGGGTGATAATTTGGTGATGCTACCACCGGGGGACCACAGCCCATGTGAAAACATGACGAGAGGAATAACTGAAATGTGTGCAGATCACGAACACTGGATGAGCAGAATGATCCGAATAAAGCTGCACGATGAGAGCACAGTTTCAATGAAAAATGTGCGGGATTTTCCTTGTACAAGGACAAGCATGTAAAAGTCCTATTCTGATAATAAACTATGACATGATGATTTGTATCTTCGTTATTCTGTGCTACGTACGCATTGGTCCATCAGGTCTTAGTGATCGTTCCTTCAAGTAATACAGTTGTTCATGTCAGGCACTGACCAATATACTTCCAGGTCGTTTTTTTCGTTAGCAAGCTTGACCTAATTTTAGGTTATCTTCCATTCTGTTGATGTATTTTCACCATTATTTGTTAAATCGTTCACCCGGTTCCAATCAGCGCACTGTGTTGGCTTACGGGTCCCAAACAATACTGTGGATTAGCATCGCGTCTCAACATCCCGAAGCCCAAGAGAGAGATACAAAACTGATGCATCCTAGCGGTTGAACTTCTGTAGTGACTGAGATAAACTATTCTTATCACCAAGAGTTGAATTTGTCATGCACTGCTTGGTAAGCAGGTTCATTTTGACTTGACACTGTTTACAACTGGGAAGTTTAAAAATGACTTAACAATTTAAATCTGTTTTCATGCTATGTTTGCCCTTTCCAATCACCACCGATTGGTAACTGTAACTCTCAAGGTCTTCCTGTCCAAAGAGCTAAACAATATATAGACATATGCAGATGGTTTGAAGCTATAAATGCGGTTTGCATTCGTCGTGCCGACTGCGTTCTCACTTTCGTAAGTGGTAGAGGGCTACCGGTGCTTGTGACGTGTATTCTTTGCTTTGGCTGTGCTCTCGGGTCCTAAATGACGTTCGTAGCCGTTGGTATACGTGCTCCGTAGTGTTCGGAACTGCCTCTTACCTTTGTGTCTGTGAGATCGCGCTGGTTTTAAGTGGGCGTCCAATCTGTGATCTCCCCGTGAATGCCACCTGTCTTGTGTTATCAGCTTGTATTGGATGCGCAACGTGTCCCACGACGAGACGGTCCGTTTGTGTTATGGTTTTGTGTTTTTTGAGTGAAATCTTGCTGACAAAACATCGTGTTATTTTTTTCTGTTTGCTGCAAAAGGTATATTTCGAGTGTCGCACCACCTTGATAGATAATCTGAAAGATAAAGTTCGGCATCGAAGGCGCTCTGAAATAATTTATTGATGGCATTCCAGAACCGAACCTGAAAATGGAATTTCGGCACTCATTTCCAGTCTGCACTTATCCACCATTGATCGGTTCATATGCAATGAGTTTTGTTTTATGTAGTACAGCTTTTTGGGGTGCCGTATGTAATATGTTCCAACCAGGGAGAAGACTTGAACGGTTCGAACGAAATCATATTGATGCAATATCTAGCAATACCGTAAGAATATGAAATGGTTACAATACTAAATGGCAGTGTTACGTGTGGATGCCGTTTTGGTCTTCATTCACAGTGTCTTCTATCACGGTGCCAGGCCTCACACAATTTGTACAGCTGGACGTCAGTTAGTTTGAATTTCACACTACAAGTATCATTCCTTGAGTTGTGACAATTTGCTGCCACTGTGATAAAGCATCTTCAATTAGAAGTGCTCTAACGTGGGTCGTGGTGGCGCAGGGGTTTAGTCACTGTCATCGACGTGCTTGGACCCTATGGCCCGAGACTCGAGACTTGCCGCCGCCACCCAAGTATGATGGCAGACAGATTTGTTGTCGTCTGGTTCAATTCCACGCCCAAACTAGTGGGGACCTTATGTGGTTCGCCATTCCAAGTCCCGGGGCTTACGTTGCTGGTTTCTACCACTGAGCAGCAGATTCTAGTGACTATGGGGTTTTCCCCGTCTGTTGTTCATCACCCTTGGGCGTGTAATACAAGAACTGTCAAAGTTACACGTTTATTGATGAACATGGCATGAAGAATTTGCCGACACTCTCACCAGTTGACCTAGACGATCTCAAACACAGTGACCCCTCTTTATTCCCATCTCCATATATTGTGCCCTGAGTTATGCATGAAATGTGCTCTGATTGACCGGTAGATGAATCGTTGGTACAAACCTCATCTGACGCATTGTCTTTCTTCCTCCAATGAGTGAGTTACTTAAACATGGAGAAATGTGACTCGTTTAGATTCATGCCAGTCGACCCTAGTCGCATCCCGAGTGCTCTGTGGTTTTCAGATGTATCTGTATTGGGAATTGAACTAATTCCGCAGCATTTCGCCTACTTTACAGCGTATCCGTTGCAAACAGGGTACATAAAATAGTTGTCAAGACGTAAACACTCCTTGAGATGGAATTTTATATTTTGTGTCTAATCGTTGCATTGAGTGAAGCGCTTCTATTATATCGAACTCTGTTGAAATGGGATTTTAATTCAGAGGGACTTCACAAAGCAAGGAAAGTTTCTTCGGAGACAACTCAGTCTCATTGGATTCTCTGAATCAAACAAACCAACAAACCCATTTGCACTTTGTATCGTTTTCGGTTCTCGTTGAACCTTGATAAGAAGCCACACATCAATGATTGGATGATTTTCCGGTGAATTCCATAACGTCAGATAGCAGTGACGATTGAGCGTCACTTCAGTTATTTAAAACCATGCATCGCGATGAAGATACCCAATGGACAAGTGTATCGCATTGACAGCCTCTGGTTTGTTTTAATCTAGTGAATTCTTTGGCTGCACTTTGTTGATGGTTCCTCAAAATGAATTTGACCGCTGTACAGTGCTTCCAAGGCTTTTCAGTAGTGAGTTGCAAGGTGCCTACGTACAATGTGTGAATGGACACTTAATAAGTGACAAGACTGCTCTCAATTGGAGGAATACTTTTCAATTATCATATTGGTTCGCATAATCCACGGATGAACGCACACGGGAAAACAAACAAACCAACAAACAACGTATTTAGACAGGACGAACAATACGAAAGCGATCATCGAACAAATGAATTGATTCTTCCTCATACAAAGACATGAAGATCTGCCTCATTGTGTTCCTTTCACACTGCATAACGAGTTTCCTCCATTGTGTAGTCACAGAACCGATCGCACAACATTGACTGTTTGGGAAGCAATTGGTAAATGTTTTCGCAGCTTTTTATTAGGGGTGGGTACCAAATACCACAAATGCAAAAGGTTCATGAACGGAGGCGAAAGTACTGCGGGGAACGTCTAGCCGTTATTTTAGATTAATCATGTCTGACTACTAATGAGTAGTCAAAAAAGATTTACACAAAACAAGGCCATATGTATAATGTACTCCGAATTCAATACGAGGTCTTCCGAGAATTCCCGTGGAGACGAACGAAGCAGAATGGAGTAAGGATGTTTTATGATAGGGTTTTGACAATTAAGAGCGCATTAGTGATAAAATGTCAACAAAATAGGAGAAGTCAACCATCCACGCAAAGGCTTGTGAGCACTGCTCCCTATTTCGCCACTTAGGGAGTCGTGCATCCGTCGAGCTTGCGGCATTTCGAATCCGGACAGGCAAGGTTTGAACTGGCCACATGGATCAGCGTGATAAAGTGCATGTATGTACGTCCTAGTTGTAGAGCGCAGACTGGTACTGGATGAGGACATTGATCGGTGGAGTTGATGACACCCTCTCAGCAATGGCCTACTCTGAGGGAACGGGTAATACCAAATTTCAAATTTTTATTATGGGTAAATTTCAAAGCTTTTTTCGCTTTTAATTTTACTTCTTTTTATTGAATATA